CGATTTTATCACATGCATGGACTTAACATTTGGGAGTCCTAAAATACCATAGCTTAGTGAATAATGACTAATGTTTTATGTGCTTGCCCTTTAATTTGCAAGTAGTTTTCCCCATACAGTGTCCCACCAAAGCTCTCATTTTCTCATGTTCTGATAAAACCAAACAACGTGTGGTAGTAACGATGCTCTCACATGAAATCAACTCAAACCGAACCGACCGAAGGATGTGTTCCATGAGTTTATGTCCCAAATTCATGTCTATTTCCCATTTCCTCTACAGTTGCTGGTGCCAACAGGACATGCTGGTAGCTTCTCCCATTCAACCAGAAACAGGAAGCACCTGAGAAGCCATGTCCTAGTGCCAAACCAAGACCAATTTTTTTAGAATTCAAAAGCTTGAGACATTTTGAAATGATGCCCACGTATTTAGAGTTTCTGCAACCAAACCGACTTTCCAATGTTCTAAAGGGAGCACAGCTGGCCCATATGGAGACTTACAATGAGGCCACAATTACAGAACAATGGGTGGCCTTGCTGAGCACTTTCACCCCAGTTTTCTCAGGAGCTCCTCACTGTAACCAAAGAGTTCTACAGTGGAGGCATCGCAGCAGTGGAGGCATCAATGCAAGGAGGCCTCACAGCGTCGACTCTCACTGAGAGGCCAAGTGACAGGCCTGAGGCCACAGAGGCAGAAGCATGGCAGAGCCGGCCTCAACCCACAGCCCCTCCCACAGTCTTTCCACCATCCCACAGGAAGTGGGTTTAGAAGCAGCCATGTGGCCACCACCACGACCAATCTCCAATTTCCACCATCCCTCTCTTCCACAGTCTCAACAGCCTACAGACTTTAAGTGGGTTCCAGTTTTTCCAATTATAAAATGAAATCATTCCACCTTGCACTTGGATGCAGCTCAAGCCCTTGGGGATAATCTCCAGTAGTCCGCACACTGGAAGGAAATTCTGTCTCCACAAAGCCCCCCCACTTTTAAAACCCCATGTCCCCTCTCTGTTTTCTCCTGTAGATGGGGAATTTCTTGGTAGCTGGAACTGTATCACTTGGGTTTTGTCTATCTGGCGACTAACAAGTACTTAAGATTAAGTGGACTCTATTCCCGGTTCACAAGTCATCCTATGATGATTAACAAACACTTGCTCAGAATACAGTATGTTGTACATGGCATATTAGAATGTGTGTGTGTGTGTGTGTGTGTATGCTTAGCATATAGTATATTAGCAAGTATATACCCGACATTGTTTTAAGGACTTAGAAGCGTTAACTCATTTAGTCCTCTTCACAGACCCTGGAGGTAGGTTAGGCACAGAGAACTTAAATAATCCATCTGAGATTACACTGTTAATAGAGGAAGCGGCAGAGCCGGGATTTGAACTTTGGCAGTCCGGGTCCAGAGTCTGTGCATTGGCCACCAAGCTACCTGGCCTCTCCGTGGTGTAGCATGTCAATAACAGATTAGAAAGAAAAACTCAGGCCATCACCTCTCTGGACCTCACGAAAGACAGGAGGCTGCTCTAGGTGGTTCTGAAAGTTCCTGTCAAGCTCTAAAGCCCTCCCCTTGTCCTTCGCCGCAGTGCGACCCCCTACCTGGAACAGAGAGCTTGCATCACTGAGTTTTTCCACATTGAGAAAATACTGGTTGCCTTAAAAGCCAAAGTAGGTCTAGTTTAAACCACAAAGCAGGGAGGTAGAGATTCCTAAAGCCAGCAGAACACAGACAAGAGCCTCCCACTCCCACACATCCACTCCAGCCTTCTACAGAAAACTCAGCATCTTCCACTCCTTTCCTCTTGCAGGGCCAAGAACTACAGAAACGTTCAGGTTAGTCCCCCATTTTTCTAAGGGGCTGCTCTCACACCCCAATAATCAATATGCCAGACCCGTCCATCCCTTATTCCCTACCCTGGGCCTATGAATGGGTTGGCACATGGAAGTGTGTGTGCACCCATGGGGAAGGAAGATTGGGCAGGGGCCGAATCATTTTGCTAATTTCTTCACTGTATCCATTTAGCGGTCATTAAGTCCAGGAACAATTAAAGCAAAGAATGATCCTGGAGGCCTGAGCCCACCCTACAGCCACTGCTACATGAGGAATTTGGGTTCCTGAGATGAGCCCTGTATCAGCCAGCTATTACTGCATAACAATCACAAAACCTCCACGGCAAACAAGAACAGGCACATAATTCTCACTCATACAGCCACAGATTGGCTGGGGTTTCACTGATCTGGTGGGGCTCTGGCTACAGGTTCAGGTCGGCTCTGTTCTGTGTATCTCTTCTCTGGGACTCATGAGCCGTGTGAGACCTGCTGCATGGTCAGAAGCACCCAGCGGGTGGCAGAAACACAGGAGCCCAGTGAGGCCTAGGCTGGAGCTCACACACTCCTGTGAGGGAGGGGCGCCTGGAGGGTCCTTGCAGGGAGCCTGACGCCTGGCTGCTGCTGCCGCCGCCACCATGGCCACCACCGCCTCAGCTCAATGGACTGGCGCGCTCCGAGCAAGTCCTGCCAAGCGTCAGAGCAGCCGGCAGAGAGGAAGGAGAACGCAAGCAGGCCTGGCTGGACGGCACTGACATCCAAAATGCTCACACGGCCTCGCCTCCTCATTGTATTTTGGGATAGTTCAGTCACCCTTTCTTGTTTTGTGAGGGTTGTTGACTAGCTTTTACTTCTCACTTAAATTAGAAATGCTGAAACATAAACTAACAGAAATTACCATTAATTACCAGGACACAAAATGGCCTGTTGAGTCAGACAGGCCAGCTTCAAAACCCTGCTCCACCATTTACCGTTTGAGTGAACCTGGGGCAATTCACGTACGCTCTGAGTCTCCGCGGGCTCCTCTGTCACAGGAGAATGGCGACACCAGAAGCTGGCCTTTGGGCCTCCCCCTGCCTCCCCCCAGCTCCTACCACCATTCCCGTAATGCGGCCTGACTGCCACCTGCCAGCACCCGCACCTCTGCCCTGGAGGCTTTCCCAGCACACACACATGGCAGGACAGGATGCCAGATGGAGGAGGCCCTTCCCCTAGGCCTCAGGCAGGAGGACTCTAGCTGTGTGCTCCCCAGAGACTGCCCCGCTCACCCAGGTAACGTGCTGAGGAGCACATCTTCAATGGGTCTCCTTCCCATTCTCACTTCCCCCTGTCTCACTGGTGTCCGCTAGAACAATTTTCAAAATAAACTACCTGTAATCAGACCCAAGAACAAAAGAAAACAAAACATTTTTCATGGCTTCTGGGAAGATTAGATGAGAGAATGTGTAAAGACCTCAGATCAACACTGGCCTACTGATGACCCACAGCTGCGTAATAGAAAGTAACGCAGATGCGTGAGCCACGGCACACCGCGTACACGTGGCCATTGGCTCTGCTCCCTCTTCGGAAGGCCATCCTTGCACTTGTGGTGTATGCAGAATCATCACTGGGGACAGCCATGCATTCCTGTCACGACATGTCATCTTCTGAGAAAACCGAAGTACTGGTCCTACGCATTACCAGTGCGATCCAACAATCACTGCCTCCATCACCCTGCGGAGCCCCTCGCTCCTTCCCAGCCTGAAAAGCTCCCCCAGCAGCTGTTCCAGAGGCTTTTCCTTTTTCTTCCTTGGGGAGGAGGAGGAGTAAACTGGGCAGCAGAAACCCAGTCTTGACTCAGTTTTGTGCATCTGACATCAACAATCCCTCCACTCGTGACTGATTACACCAACATCTATTTGTTAGAAGAAGTTTGTTTTTCTTCTGTCGGGGACAATACAGATATAAACAGGGCCAGAGTTTCATTCCCCCACATGGCCAGAGCTGATCAAATGCTGATACAGAGGAAAAAGGAAAAACAAAAGAAGGCTCACTCTCTCTACAGGAGAGAGGGTTTGTGCCTCCCGCAGGGATGCTGCTTGCTCTTCTGGGGGAGACATTTCCCAGAGTACCCTTCCTGGGTCAGCTGAGTCCCCAGAAGGGTCCCAGGGGCCATACAGTGTTTCTCATGAGTCCTCTTTAGTGGCCACAAAATTTGAAACCTAGGAAAACCCAGGGAGGCCCAAAGGCAATGTGGACACAAACCAGTGAGACTTCTGTCCAAATAAAACAGGAGGAGAATTAAGAAAGAGTCCAGCGTTTAGAGAAGGAGCAGGTTCCAGCTCACCCGAAATTAGGCTGAGAAAAGTTGAGACTACAAGCTATAAAACTGAAGAAAATAACCATGTTTTCTGGATGCTTAAAGCTCAGATTCGACTGGGCTCAACAGTGGTCGGCTCAACCACTATTAGTGATTGTCCTCGATTCCCAGGCATTTGGAGGTTCTAAGTCTGAGAGGGTACATTTTCCTTCCTAGTGCCCCTTGGCAAGGAGCTCTTAAAACCGCATTCAGGATGCAGGACCACGTGGGAAGGAAAGTCAGACCTCGAATGTCACGAAATGCTGAGTGTTCGGAGTGTTAAGTTTCGGTCCAGCTGTTGCTTTAGGAATCCTGAGTCTCCTCTCCCCGCCGCCTCAGGACATCTGCCCACAGTGCAGCCAGGAGCTGTGTGGGAGCCTAATGACTGATGGGAGCTGCCTGGGGCTCTAGAGATCACCTGGGCCAACCACTGAATTTTCAGACAAGGAAACTGAGGTCCAAAGAGAGAAGGTAAGTTTCACAAGGCAACACAGCACCTGGCATTACCAAAAAGCCAAGGCAGCTGTTAGGTCACTGGGATGAGGCTTGGTAAATTTCAGTCCCTGAGACTTCATAAAGCTTGGTAGGCACCGTGGGCTCTGCGGCCAAGTCAGGATAGGGTTGGAAAGGCCTGGAACTGCCACCCTCTCTGCACCTGCCTCTTCTCTGGGCAGGGCCTTGGGCATCAGGAGATCATCTGGGAGCAAACGGTGCTGCCCTCTCATAAGCATGTGGAAAGCCGGGGAAATGTGCAGCTGGTGGTGCAGAAAGGTGGGGAGGTGGGCTTAGGGCATGAGGTTTGCAGGGGAATGAGGACAATCAATCCATGCTTACCTTCATAGCAAGGGATCAGCGTCCTGCCTTTGGCCTGGAGGTTGGAGGGGATGACGTAGCAGAAGCCATGCGGCAGGATGTGGTCAGTTTCATAGAAGATGTTCTTCCAGCGATGGGCACAGGCCTAAAGGGATAGAGAGCAGCTGAGAGCAGGAAAGTTGGCCCCAAAAGGTCACAAAGCTGACTCCTGGCAGTGCCCGGTGTTGCTTTCTGTGGGAGGAGAGAGGAGCAGAGGAGCCAGGAAGCCACACCTTCATACCAGGCACTGCTATGGGCATCAGAAAACTGCACGAACAGGAACGAGCCCTGGAGTCTAACTAGGAGATAGGAAATAAACAAATAGATCACCAAATGAGGACTGTCGCTAGTGCTGCGCACTGCGAAGGAAAGAAACAGGGTTACAGAATAGAGAAGCTGGGGGTGGAAGGATCGTTTCCACTGGCAGTGGGGAAGGCCTGAGGCATGAGGAAGAGCTAACCACACTGAGCACACAGGAAGAGAGCTCCGGGAGGATTCAAAGGACAGCAGAATGCAAAGGACACACTGTGAGAAAGGCTCAGAGGCTCAAGAGAAAGGCCGGTCTGGAGCGACCATGCAGGGAGGGAGATAGGGTCAAAGAAGGGGCCAAAGCCAAACCACAGGGGACATGGGAATGGCTGTGACTTCAGGAGACCTGCAATGGGAAGCAGGGGAGGGTCTCACACAGGTGAGAAGCGTGATCCAAGTGACAGTTTGGGAAGATCTGGCTGCCCGGTGGAGACCACAGGAGGGAAGGGTGCAAAGGAGCACCAGGTGAGAGACGGTGCAGGTCTGGACCAGAGGGGCAGTGCAGATGGGTGAGGGGCGGCTTCAGGGCTGACGGGCCCAAGGGAGTGAGCCGACGTGGAGGGAGCAGGGAAGGGAGGGACTGCTGATACTCAACCATGTTTCTACCTACAGAAACACTTCTGCATGCGTCTCATTAACTAGCAGTAAATGTGTGTGGGGGGGGGGTTCTTTGTTTGACGTAAACTTAAATACAGCAAAATGCACAAATCTCAAACGTACCATGTAATGAGCTTTGACAAACGTACACACTCATGTCACAAGGCCCTAACAAGACACAGAACATTTCCATCTCACCAGAAAGTTCCCCATGCCAGGGAGTGGCTGGTTTTGCCAGGCAGGTCAAGGAAGGCTCTCTGAGGAGAGCTGAAGAGAGGTTCAGAGCGCCAAGGGCCTTGGGGTGGGTTGGAGTTCTGCATGTCGGGGAGGAGGACGGACGGACACGTTGGCCAGCTTTCTAGAGGAGCCTCTCAGCACGTGGCTATGCAAGATGCCGTGAGGAAGGGCAGCTCTGCCAGCAGACACAGGAGCAGCGCCAGCAGCCGGGACGCAGGCCTGGCTTGTCCTCCTGCCACACCAAGCACGCACCTGCCTTCTGCCTGGACATGACAACAGCCCTAGTCCCCATGCGTGTCTGTCACCACAGTGCTGATGAGGAGCCCACCTGCTTACTCAGAGGCGCACACTCCGGCTGCCCAGCCCAGTCCAACTTCTCCCCGACATTCACCCCTCACTGCTGCTCTCAGTTCACTTCACCCTGGCCAGTGAATGCGTTTTCTTAAAATACTGCTTTTCAAAATAATCAGTTTTTAACATCTTGGTGTGCCCCTTCAAACGCAGTTTTTGTAAGTGATAACATTCAGTGTTCTTCCTACCTCTGACCTCTTGTGCAAGCCCACAAGGCGGGCCACGGTGTCTTTAGAGCTCCCATTTGCTGTTTGAGAGCACTGTGGATCAGAGCGTGCTTTGCCCCAGTGGCAGAGCTAGTAAGTGCAAACAGGACCGGAATCCGTGAGTTCTGAGTCTTTCTTGTTTCACTATGAAGCATTTTCCATCTTAAAACTTCTCATTCCTACTTCACAGGCCATCAAAACTCACCCCTGGGGCAGGTCTGGTGACTTTACCATCTTCACAGCCCCCTTGCCACAGGTCCCAGGCCACCTGAAATCTCTGCGCTGAGGTTGAATGGAATTCCCAAGGTCATCGAGTGAGTGAGGGGTTCTCGGGGCCTGGTTTCCCCTGAGGTCATGCCATGGTAAGCTCACTGCCTTCTAAGCTCTCTGTTCTTCATCCTTCAAGCCGCTGCCACCACGGCCCTTGACAAGGCCACTCTGCCCAAGGGCAAAAGAGGACACACTCAGAACGACTCTCACAACCTGAACTTGCCCACACTCTGCCTCTTGTTGTATGACATTAAACTATAAAAAAAAATCTATTGTTATTTTTTCTGCTGCAAACCACGTTCATTCCTCCACTTGATACTGTTTTGTGCTAAAATAGCAAATTTCTAAGTAGATAAATGATATGAGACAAAGAACTATAAAAATATATCACTAAGTAAATAATCATTCCATACTGCTACATAATTGGTTTTTAAAGATCTGGCTCAATTCTGATGGCTCGCAAACTTGAATCATTTATTGTTATCTAACTGGTGGGTAAATAAGTTATATTTCAGTTTTTGGACTTAGCAAAGCCCTTGGCTTCAAGGGCTGACCATGTTTTATTGTATTTCTGAGTTGGAGGGGCTGTAAAAAGAGGCGGATGTTTATCACGGCGCTGTCTGACAGCCAGCTGCACGCTGGCACTTATAGGAAGGCTTCGCTGTAGTTAATGTCTGGTGTATTGTGTCATTTTTTAAGTGCCATAAACCATTTAAAGGGTGATCTTGGAGACTTCCTAGAAGATCCAAATATTCCATTTCATACTAAATTAAAAGCATTCTGGGAGGTCAGGGATCAAAGTGCCAAAGGAAGGATTCATGTAGGAAAACAATACAAAGTGTCTCTGAATATAAATTACAGAAAGAGAAGACTGTGTTTAGCCCTGATTATCATTATGTATATACACATGTCAATCTGACTCCTACATTAAAAAAAAATTCATAGGGACTGTCTCCAAAGCATTAGTAACTCCATCAATCTCTTCAAATGAGTTCTGCTGCGAGGGAGGAATGGGGGCCAAGCAGAGAAGAACAGGAGAAGAAGAGCATTCTCTGAAAATAGCAAGACTCGCTCAAACTCAGGTTTCAATCAATCATAAGAAAGGGGGAGGAGGGCCTTGTCCTACTCCAAATCTTAGAATCTGACACACTTCAAATTATAAGGACTATTTTTCCTCCCAAAAAAGGAAAAAGAGAAAGAATGAAACACTTTATTTCAAAGGCCTTTTCTGTGGTGTGGTAACAACACTTCCCTCCTGGGAGTGGGTACTGGCACTTTCCGGGTGCCTTGGCCACGAAGGTACATCAGCCCCCGCCAACCCTCCTATTCACATACTTGCCATAGAGATGGCCAAAGCCTTTGTCACGCATCCAGGTCCACAGCGCATGGCTGCAACCGTGCTGGGCAGCTGAGAATGGTGTGTGCTGGGGAGCAGAATCACAGCAAGGCTGCGACGCCACAAGGCTCCCCCAGGAGGCTTCCAGCCGAGGAGGAGGAGGAGGGCGCAGCTGGGGGGGCACTGGGAAGGGGCTTCTGGAGTGTGAAAATGTTGTTCTGAGGATGTTCACCTAAGGAAAAATTACTGATGCGTACACTGATGATCTGTACATTCTTCTGCGTGTGTGTTACAGCTCAATAAAAAGTTCCCTTTGAAAACCATCAGGAAGCAGAGCAGCAGAAGTAAATGCAAAAATGTACCCTGTGGCTTTGAAAAAAAAAATGGACAGATGGAAGCAGTGGAAGAGATAAGGACAGCCCTGATATTTAGAAAGGAAATGACGAAGAGAACCAGAGAACACTGCTTCTGCACAGAAAGAATCTAGCATTATTTGTTGTCCGAGCCTTGGCAAGTCTGATAATGAGGAGACACTATAGACTTGCACGTTTTGGGTTGCCCTCCACATTCCGAGAGCAACGGTCAATGCCTACACAGGGTCTGTTCCGTGGTTCTTTCAAGAAGTGATTCCCCTTCCCGCCCATTTCTTAAAATATCATCTACACACAGGGAGCTCAGGGTGGGGGTGTCAGAAGGGAAGGGGCTTGCCTCTAATCCTGATGTTGTCTTTACATCCAGTATCATTTGTTCCTGGGGAAAACCTGGGAGGTGCAACAGTGTACCTGGAGCTGAGATGGGCAGGCACTAAGCCAAGGCCAACCCGCCAGGCCAGTCTAACAACCTGGTTCTTGCCAGAGCTAGTTGCTGGGTCCATGGTCCACCTAATGCCATTTGTCACTGAGACACTTCATGCCCCATTGCAGCCTTCAAATTCTCCATCTGTTCTTAGCTTTCTATCAGCACCAGACACCACTTTCAAAATTGCCAGCCCACCTCTCCCTCTTCAAACCCAACCCTGGAATCCAATATTGTGCTCCTTGGCGATACAGGTCTCTTGCCTACACCCCAGGCACCTCCCAAGAGTTCAAAATGATTTAACAACACACATCCTTCCTATTTTTAATTTAAAGGTAAATATTTGCCTCCCAGAAAGCTCTGACAGGTAGGATTGAAACATTAAAGAAAAAGCAAATGGCTATGAGGCCTCCAAATGTGAATATGAACTAGGTAGCCACTCACTGTGTCTTGTTTTTGCCTGTCATCTCCAAGGGACATTTTATAGAATTTTTCCTGGTGTTTCCATCAACCACTTAGAATCAGCCACCAAGAGAAGATGGCAACTAATTTGGTTTCTAACTGTTTTAACATTGACCCTCCGTCCCTGTATTAGTCAAGCACACGTTCAGATGCCATTCCTTAGAGAGATGTCTTCCAGATGCTGAGAATAAAAGTGGGTAGAAGATTTGGTCTCTATCCCCAAGTGACTTCCATAAAAGGGGGCCTATGGGCCACAAAATAAATTATACACGCAATATAAGTAACAAGGTGATGTTGAGCTCCTAATGACACAAAAGATGCTCAGCCCATTCCAGGAAACCCTTAACAGGCTTCACAGAGGAGGCAGAGCCCACACGGGAGAAGAAAGAGGCGTGACAAGGACAGAGCGGGACAGGGCAGAGGGAACTTAGGACCAGCCTTTCCTAGCAAGACTGCCCGTGTGCAAAAAGCCATGAGGATAACTCAACAACAATAAAAACCAAACAATCCAATTTAAAATTGAGCAAAGTACCTAAACATTTCTCCAAAGAAGATATAAAATGACCAACAACAGATGAAACGATGCTCAACGTTACTAATCATCAGGGAAATGCAAACCAAAATCACAATCAAGTATTATCTCACACCCATTAAAAAAAAAAACAGAAAACAATAAATGTTGGCAAGGATGTGGAGCAACTGAAACCCTTGTGCACTGTTAGTGAGAATTTAGAATGGGGCCCCCACTTGGGAAAACAGTATGGATGTTTCTCAGAAATTAAAAACAGAAGTGCCGTATGATCCAGTAATCCTACTTCTGGATGTATACCCAAAAGAATTGAAAAGAAGGTCTCAAAGAGTTATTGGTACACGTTTATAGCAGCATATGTCATGACAGCCAGAGGATAGAACTAACTTAAATGTCCATTAATAGCTGAATAAATATGGTATATTCATACAATGAAATATTATTCTGCCTTTAAAAAGGAAAGGGGTTCTGTACATGCTACAACATGGATGAACGTTGAGGACATTATGCTAAATGTAATAAGCTAGTCACAAAAGGATGGATACCACAGGACTCCACTTACGTGAGATCTAAAGTACTCAAACTCTTAACAGAAATACAATAGTTGTTGCCAGGATCCAGGGGAAGGAGAAAAGGGGGAGGTGCTGTTCAACGCATGTAAGTTTTGCAAGATAAAGTTTAGAGGTTTGTTGTACAACAATGTGCATACATTTACCACTACTGTACTACACACTCAAAATGGTTAAGGTGGTAAGTTTTATGTTATGTGTTTGACCACAATTAGAAAAACAAAAGTCACAAGGAAGGCAGATGCTGTCAGATTCTCCTCTTTCCCCAGCACCCATATACAGTGGCTTACTGAGGGGACGATGCAATAATTTCATAAAACATTTTAAAAAGAGCCCTGCGTGCAATTAATTAGACTGGACCATCCGTGGCACCATTATCCGCAAATGCTCCAGCTCTCCATGCTTCACTTCCTTTGCCAGATCTTCCCTGTGGTCCTCATTGCTGTTCACTGTCCCCAGAGATGACCCCTGCGTGATACTGATCTGCAGTAATACAGAATTCTGTCTTGCCCTCTAGAAAGGAGCTGTCAGCCACAGAAAGGTTACCCCTCCTTGCAGAGAGGAAATATTTTCACAGGAGCAAACTCTGACTCTAGGCTCAGCACCCTTAAGAGCATCTTGTGTTGTGCTGCCACTGGGCCACCACCTCCTCTTTGTTCTGAACCAGGACCTTGGGCTACCCTTTGATTTACAGATGAGTCAGCTTCGTCCCTCTCTTTCCCTAGAATGGCAGACAAGGGTTCAGCCCTTCTGGGGCCCATTCGTCCAGTCAGGGTCAGGCCACCATGCCTGGAGGAATGTGGAAGTTTGGAGAGCGTCCAGGGCCAGGCCACGACAGTGATGGAAGGACTGGAAACCAAAGCAAACAGTGGGCTCAGGGAGCCTCTGCAGGACCCACAGGGGCTTCTAGGAGGGAGGCCCCAGTGATGCTGGCAACAGCATCCAGCTGCTTCCTCCTCTCCCGAGGGGCCCAACAAGGGGGAGATGCTTAATTGTGCTGAGGATAAAATTCGGATTAACAGCTTCTGCCATGAAGAAGTTTAACAAAAGTGGGCTCCTTGAGAGAGGGGACAAAAACACTTTGCCTAGATCCTTAAGGAAAACCTGTTTCCCCTGGGATAAAATACACAGGAACCCCTCAGCTCTGTAGCATGTGACCCAAAGGGAGCCCTCCATCAGCGGCAGCTGGTATTACTCTCCCTTCTTGATCTTATGCTTTTATAATAAGAACCTTCATACAGCTTCTGATAAAAGTCAAGGGCAAGAGAAAGCCTATGAAGTCAAAACAGCAGTTCTCTCAGCACGGGCAGAGGAGCTGACTGGGAAAGTGTCCAGGGGTCCTTCTGCGGCGCTGCCAACGGGGATGCCTAAGTATAGGTGTGTGAAACCCACCAGCCTGGCCACTCACAGCTGGGCATGTTAAGCGCTTTAGTGTTAGACCTCGTAGAAAACTTTAAAAGAAAAATGGAAAACTTGACAAAAACAAAACCTCTGCAGCAGTTAGAAGTTCCTTTTGTGCTGAGTCCAACACGACTTACTGCGATGATGAAAATACTCTCTCCATGCTTTCCAATAGAGTAGCCAGTAGCCATCTGTGAGTACTGAGCAATTCAAATGCGGCTAATATGACTAAAAAACAATCTCTAGTTTAATTTGGATAAATTGAAGTTTAAATAACTACACAGGGCTGGTGGCTACCCTACCACACAGCACAACTCCAGGATCTCGGGGGCCTCAAAGGCAAAGACTTTCCTTTTTATGTCCCTCAAAGCACCTATGGATCAGAATACATCACAGGCACTTTGGAGGTCCAATAAATGACTAGTTAGAAATAACATTTATTTCATAAAATGTAGCATTATGTAGAGATAAACAGGGATGAACTACTGATACATAACATGGATTAATTTCAGAAAATATTATTTTGAGTGAAAGAAGCCTTATATAAAAGAGCACACACTGTAGGATTCCATTCATACGAAGTTCTAGAAAAAGCAAAAGTAATGTGTAATACAAATCACAGTACGTAGTGGTTTTCTCAGGTGGGAGGAGTCAGCTGGAAAGGGACTTAGAAGACTTTTGGGATGATGGAAATATTCTATATCTTGGTGGGCATATGGTTACACAGGTGTGTACAATTGTGAAAATCAAGACTATAATCTTAAGATTTGTGTACTGTAGGTAAATTATACCCCAATACACACACACACACACACACACACACACACACACACAAATACCTATGTAATGAATTAGATATACAAAGCACTTTTCACATGTGTTTTATTTTTCAATAGCCACATCTCAGCACTTTGAGACAGACATTATTCACATTTGACAGATAAAGAAAATAAGAAGATAAGCCATTTGTCTAAGCAGTAGTCCAGAATAAGCAAACGCAAAGCCATGTACTTGTCACCATGCCATCCAGCCTTCCTAACAGACCATTCTGAGCGCCACCCCCTTCCCATGGTAGCCCCAGGAGGACTCACCAACACGCGGCCATCGGCCTGGGGCTGCCGGGCCAGGCTCACCCCCATCCACTCATCATCGCGGTCTTCCTGGCAGGTCTTTCCACAGGACGTGCCCCGAGTCTTCCCTGGAAGCAAAGGAGGAGAGCCAGGCTTGGGTGAGGAGTGATGTTCTGCTGGCTGTTTTTCAAAGGGTGGTCCACAGCCCCCATATTATTACCCATGAGGAAATAAGGAACTTTCCACAAAATGTAAATCAGCTCCATCACAATGTACTGCACTGTTTAATCCAGATAACTGGGTTTTGGTTTTTGTTTTTTTGAGACAGAGTTTCTCTCTGTTGTCCAGGCTGGAGCGCAGTGGCACAATCTCGGCTCACTGCAACCTCTGCCTCCCAGGTTCAAACAATTTTCCTACCTCAGCCTCCCAAGTGGTTGGGACTGCAGGCGTGCACCACCACATCCCACTAATTTTTGTATTTTCAGTAGAGATGGGGTTTCACCATGTTGCCTAGGCTGGTCTCAAACTCCTGACCTCAAGTGATCCACCCACCCCAACCTCCCAAAGTGCCGGGATTATAGGCATGAGCCACTGCACCCAACCACATGGCAAGGTTTTCTCAAGGAAAAAGGCAGGGCCTTGATTTATGTTCTGAAGCAAGTTTCTTAATTTGTTATGCACCAGTAACAAACAGTTCATAAACCTTTTTTTTCTGCTAAAGAAAATCACAATAACTCTTTATTTAAAAAATAATTAGAAGATCTTGGCTGGGCATGGTGGCTCATGCCTGTAATCCCAGCCCTTTGGGAGACCACAGTGGGTGGTTCACTGGAGGCCAGGAGTTTGAGACCAGCCTGGCCAATGCAGCGAAACCCCGTCTCTACTAAAAACACAAAAATTAGCCAAGGGTGATGACATATGCCACCTGTAATCCCAGCTACTCAGGAGGCTGAGGCAGAAGAATCACTTGAACCTGGAAGGCAGAGGTTGTAGTGAACAGAGATTGCGCCATTGCACTCTAGCCCGGGTGACAGAGTGAGACTCTGTCTCCAAAAAAACAAACTAACAAACAAATTAGAAAATCTTTTTTTTTTTTTTTTTTGAGACGGAGTTTCACTCATGTTACCCAGGCTGGAGTGCAATGGCGCGATCTCGGCTCACCGCAACCTCCGCCTCCTGGGTTCAGGCAATTCTCCTGCCTCAGCCTCCTGAGTAGCTGGGATTACAGGCACGCACCACCATGCCCAGCTAATGTTTTTGTATTTTTAGTAGAGACGGGGTTTCACCATGTTGACCAGGATGGTCTCGATCTCTTGACCTCGTGATCCACCCGCCTCGGCCTCCCAAAGTGCTGGGATTACAGGCTTGAGCCACCGCGCCCGGCCCAAATTAGAAAATCTTGATGCAAAAAGACTTTGGAGAAAGCAATGCTTGTAGTGATGATTATAACAAAATAGTTCCTTTGTACTGATGTGTCCGGCACAGTTCTGTGAACTCACCTGGATTATGTGATTTAATCTTCTTAAGACCATCCTCGTCCCAGCTGCGCTTTGAACCCAGTCAGAACCAACTGACTCCAAAGATGTTTTATTTCTCACTAGATCAATGTGAGCTTTTATTTTATTTTATTTTTATGTTTTTGGAGACAGAATTCTCAGCTCTGTCACCCAGGCTGGAGTACAGTGGTGCAATCTCACCTCACTGCATCCTCAATCTCCTGGGCTCAAGTGATCCTACTGCCTCAGCCTCCTGAATAGCTGGGACTACAGCACATACCACATTCAGCTAATATTTGTATTTTTAGTAGAGATGGGCTTTCACCATGTTGCCCAGGCTGGTCTCGAATTTCTGGGCTCAAGCAATCTGTCCACCTCAGTCACCCAAAGTGCTGGGACTACAGGCATGAGCCGCTACACCCAGCCCAAAGTGAGCTTTTAAAAACATCCATCTGATCATATCTTTCCTAGTTAAAATATAACACCTAAAATTGATTTCAACAGCCTCCCCACTCACACACAGAATACAATTCCAGTACCTGGCCCTGGCCTGCTAAGCCCCGCGTAGCCTGGCCCCAGCCTGCCTTGCCGCCCTGCTGTGCCCCACCAACCCAGCTCCCTCTCCAGCTGCACCACCTCGCTCTGTGCTTCCAAATGGCACCTCTGCTTAGAGGTTGTGCTTCCTGCTCCTGCCCAGCTGATGACTACACATCCTTCTAATCATGTCGAAAGGTCCCAGACCTTTCCTGATCCTCCGATCCAGACTGAATCAAATCCCTGCCTTCCCTCTGGTCTTTTCTCACTCAGTTACTCTTTTGTCCACTAACTTCTGAGGCTCAGGATGGCAGGATCCTTGTTGTTTACTGGTGTATCCCAGTGCGTAATAACTATTTGGTACTCAATACTTGTTTGCTGGAGAGAGGGAGACAGGGAGGGAGGGAGGGAGCGAAGGAGGGAAGGATGGATGAGCGGGTGAACGATCAGGCCATCCTGGGAAGAAAAAGAGTAAGGCATAAGAGTACAGGCGCATTTCCACCGCAGCAGTAACTAACATTCACCCACCTCTCGCCATGTCCAGTTCGGTGCATCTCCGGTCAGGGTTGGTGTGAACACGGCACTTAAACACAGCCCCAGGGGACTTCACTGAGGTGCTGTATTTGGAATCTGCCTTTGGTGCACCCACAAGGACCCTGCAGCAAGAGAAAAAGGCATTCTGTCGCAACCTAGGATAAGAAAATAGGAGGCAGATGGCTAAGTATTAGCCACGGGTGGGCTGTCTGAGCGCTCACTTTGAAAATCGTATTATTATACTTGGCCATGTGGGCTTGGGGGAGAGGTCCTACAGTGAAACCTGAGATCTTCCCCAGGCCCTTAAAGCTTAAGGAGGCTGAGTGTGGTGGCTCCTGCCTGTAATCTCAACATTTTGAGAGGCCGAGGTGGGTGATTGCTTGAGCCCGGGAACTCCAGACCAGCCTGGGTGACATGGCAAATCCCATCTTCAGAAAAAAATACAAAAAACTGTGCAGGTGTGACAGTGCACACTGTTAGTTGCACCTCCTCGGGGGACTGAGATGGATGGGTGGGAACATATACAACCAACCGAAGGTTCCTATCCAAAATCTTTTTTAAAACTCCTTATTGATTAACAAGAAAAATACAGACAAGTCAATAGAGTAACAGGCCAAAGACTTGCATAGATACTTCATGAAAGAAGATAGCCAGATGGCCAATAAATGCATGAAAGGTGCTCAACTATGTTAGTTATCAGAGAAGTTCAACTTCATACCAACCAGAAGGCTAAAACCAAAAAGACTGAAAATGCCAAATGCTGCCAAGGATACAGAGTGACTAGAAACTTCATACACTGCTGGTGAGAGTGTAAACCATTAAAACCACTGGGAAAACTATTCATCAATTCCTTTTTTTTTTTTTTTTTGAGACAGGGTCTCACTCTGTCGCCAGGCTCCAGGCTGGAGTACAGTGGTGCAACCTCAGCTCACTGCAACCTCCACCTCCCGGTTCAAGCAATTCTCCTGCCTCAGCCTCCCGAGTAGCTGGGACTACAGGCGCGTGCCACCACGCCCAGCTAATTCTTTTGTATTTTTAGTAGAGATGGGGTTTCACCATGTTGGCCAGGATGGTCTTGATCTCTTGACTTCGTGATCCGCCCACCTTGGCCTCCCAAAGTGTTGGGATTACAGGCGTGGGCCACCGCGCCCGGCCTCAACAATTCCTAACAAAGCTCGACATGCACCTACCCTTTGACACAGTATCCATTTCTAGGAACATGCCTAATAGAAATGTATACATTTCTACCAGGAGACCTGCAAAATATTCAAAGCTGCATACATAATATCGGAAAAAA